AGGAAACAAAGAGGAAGGAGACCTGTTTTCAGAGAATGGGAGGAGGCAGATACGGAAAGGCAGGCCCCCAGCAGGTGGCCAGGATGTTCTTCTGCACAGTGGGGACACAGACGGAGTGGTCAGTTCTGCAGGAGGGGAGGGGTGTGCAGCAGGCAATGCTCCCTGGGGAGGTAGTGCTTCAGCTGAGTCCTGAACACCATATGGTCTTCATAGAGTAGTATGGGACAGAAAAGCAGGGAAGATACTGGAAACACAGGCAGGGAGGAGGAATGGCACAGCTCTGGCAGGTAAGAAACGAGGCTGTGGAGCCGGGCAGGGACTAGTGGCTGGAGCCCCATGGAGGATAGCACAGGGTGTTACCAACAGCTACAGCTCAGCTCCTACTCTCTGCCCCAGGAGTGGATTTTTTTTTTCTTTTTCTTCTTTTCTTTTTTTTTTTTTTTTGTGAGTCACTGGCCTGCTCCCCTCATTGAAGAAGCCTAATATAGGCGTTCAGAACTATTTCCTGAGTTGAACCAAAGATCTAAAGGAATGAGGGATTGAGTTACCACTCTTACCCCTTGGGGATCTGAAGAAAGAAACTTTTATAATTAGGAAAAGTAGATGGGATGATAATAAGAATCCCCCAAAGCTGGAGGTAAAGGGTTCTGCCTCCTTCCAAATAGATAGTGAACAACATTCTATTCTAGAAAGGCCTGAGGACTGAGGCAGGATTTCAGAGAACAGGGTCCTGACGTGGAGAGGAATTCAGGGATATTGAAAGAGTTTTGGAGAAATTCTAGTCAAGAGACACACAAAAAGTGAGTTCTATGTGGGCCATTCATTCAGCAGTGAAATGTTGACAGTGTCCAAATAAACCCAGATCCCTGCCTCCCCCAAGAAATGCCTGGTCTTTCAGGGGAGACAAACCCATATAGGTTACAAATACAGGGTGACTTCTGTAAACAGTGGTCACTGTCTGAGTAGCTGCAGGAAAACAAGTTTTAACGTCACAGAAAGTCACAAATGAGCCGGCTACTTATAATGTGCTACGTTTGAGTGTGTTCCCTAGAATTCTTGTGTTAGAAACTTGGTCCCCAGTGCAGCAGTGTTGAGAGGCAGAACTTTTGGGAGGTGACTGGGTCATGAGAGCTGTACCCTCATGAATGGATTGATACATTCAAGGATTGATGGATTAATGGGTTATTGAGGGAGTGGGTTAGTTACTATGAGAGTAGAGCTATTATAAAAGTCAGTTTGGTCATCCCACGTGAACCCCCCTTGACATGTGATGCCCTGCACTGCGGAGTCCCCACCAGCAAGAAAACCCTTACCAGATGCGGCCCCTCCACCTTGGACTTCCCAGCCTCCAGAACTAAAAGAAAATAGACTAAGACACAACATTAGTGCCTACCTGAACGGTCCCAAACACTAGCATCTATTTATCTGGTCCACATCTTTGTCAACTGTTCTGTTGACTGTTGGGACCATCTGTCGTTACAAGGCAAAAACAAAACAAAAACAAATAATAGCAAACAAAGTGCAGAGGTACAAATATTGCAAAAATAAATAGAGGGATAGCAGAACTGCATAAAGTTGAAGAGGGCAAAGTTGGAGTCTTTCTCAAACTAGCTGTTGACAGTGGAGAAACTGGTGGGGTTGCACTGGTTAGCGAAGGAGTGATGAATGGAAAGAATGGTAACATTAGAGGTGCTTCTAAAGAGAATGACTAGAATATCAAATAATTAAGAAAGGCCCTTAAGAAAACAGAGTCAGTCCTTAAATATTTTTACTGAAATTGGTTTCTCTTTATGATTGAGATGACCGTTTCTGAACATGCTGCAAAAGTCACATGTGATTTGAAGGTTATTTTGTGTGATTCAGTGACTTTTCTTTGAAAACAGTTATAACTAAGATCAATACTACATCATATAAAATCAGTACTACTTCTCTGTTCTAAGAATTTGTGTACAGTTGGAACTATAACCTATAGGTTGATAGTCAAAAGATAAACTAAGGTTATATTTATATTTTTTAGTATTGCTCTCAAGGTAAAGTTCTAACTGAATTACTTCTTACCGATACCTTGAGAATGCTGGTCCTCATTTCAAATGAATGAATGTTAAGCAGCTTTTTGAAGGTACACACATGCAGGGATTCCTTAGAGCACCTCCGCCCCAGTGGCTGAAGTGTGGCATGATGGCTGCCAAGACAGGCAAGGGGTGCGGAGGTCACTCACACCGGCTGGGCCAGAAATCCTTCTAGTGGAGGAGACACAGAATCATCTCCTATCACAGCGCTTGGGACTCCAAAGGCCCTGGAATAAAGCCTGTTGGTTGAAAATCAATAAACTCCTAAGACAATGGGTTTAGTCCTCAAAGCCACCATTTTCTGCTTTCCTATATTAGGATCCATTTTGAAAAGCATAGTGTGATTCCAGGGAACACTTACAGTTACATACAAAATTACATTTAATTTCTCCCCTGAAATGTATTTTTTTTGTTTTTTTGAGATGGAGTCTTGCTTTGTTGCCCAGGCTGGAATGCAGTGGTGCAATCTCAGTTCACTGCAACCTCCACCTCCCGGGTTCAAGACATTCTCCTGCCTCAGCCTCCCGAGTAGCTGGGATTAAAGGCATCCGCCACCACACCCAGTCAATTTTTGTATTTTTGGTAGAGATGCGGTTTCACCATGTTGGCCAGGCTGGTCTCGAACTCCTGACCTCAAGTGATCCACCTGTCTCAGCTTCCCAAAGTGCTGGGATTACAGGCATGAGCCACTGCTGCACCTAGCCCCTTGAAATGTTTTTAATTTTATATTGTGGCTGAACAAGGTAACTTATGTTTCAGGATAGTAAGGTGATTAAATGCTTAAGCCCCAGCATCTGGCAGATCAGAGTCTGAATTCTGGCTACCACTCATGGCTCTGATACTGGGCAGGTCATCCATCCTCTCTGATACTTTCTGAGAAATGGGGAAACAGCTACCACCCACCTCCCGGGTTGCCATGAGGATGAACTGGTGATAATGCACACCAGTGGTGGGTTCAGTGCCTGGGCACGGGCAAAGCATTCAAGTCTTTTAATGATCTGAACAGTTAGAAAAGTTATTTCAGCCCTCTGGGAGAGTGCTCACAAGGACAACAAACGCCCACGAGGATGTTTTCTTCATCTCGTTTCCTTCCTTATTAAAATTTTATTCACGGGTAAAATTGAAAAGCAAAAAGGCTCTATAAAATCATACCAAGATTCTACATTAATTCATAAGCGCCAACATTCTTAATGGTCCATCGGTAAGAACAGCTCATTACTGGCTAAGGCTGGGGGGTATATACAACTGCTGTGTGCAACTTCTGGCATGTCCACTATCCCCCGACCAAGACAGCATTTCCAAATGTAAGAGTTGAGGGTGATGCTATTATAGTGATTGATTTACAAAAGAGAATCAGGGCATATGCATGCCTCTACTGTTAATTTATAGCATAGCTCACACACGACCTTGGCACACTGCTGATTAGGACACCCGGTGAAATACCCCAGCAAGCTCTAGCCAACCTTAATGAGTTCCAACACTTGTTGGCTTCTCTCCTCCAACGAAACTCAGTGACAGAAATTCATGGTAATGAAGGGCAGAACAAAATTCTTTAAAAATTACACAGTTTTGCCAAATCCATCTGAGACTGAGTTATTTAGTAATTTCACATATGTAGAACAACACAGAGAACCTGAGAATAAGGTGTTTGGTTTTTATTCTTTAAGTGACTAAGCGGCCAATATGCTACATGAGACTACAGCACTAAGAGCTTATGAACTTCTTCACCAGACACCTGTCATTAAGCACCTATTTACTCTCATTTAAAATGCAGATTTAACAAGCCCTGAACAAGTCATTCCTCAGTTCAAAAATCTTTAGTCATTCTTTTTTGCTGATAGAACACATTCTAGAGTCTTTACTTTGGCACTTAAGGCACTCCAAGGGTTGGCCTTAATTGTTTTACTATTTTTTTTTCCCTCTTCTACTTCCTATTCTCTTTCATCAGTCCAAACTGAACTTCTTTCTGTTCCCAGCACATCACCTGCATTTCTGCTCAGCGTCTTTGTTTATGCTCCTGGCTGAACTCCTCACATACAGGAAGCTCCAGCAGTCCGTCTCCATTTCAAATAGTACTTCTTTCATGCAGCCTTCCTAGTTCTCTTAAGGGAAAGGAAAGCCCCTCTTGCAAGAACTGTCTGCATGCATTTTGTTTGCACCATTCTTATGGTGCCTCATTGTCTCCCTTCTATGTTATAAAAATATAATGCTATAGGACAGTAATCATATTTTAAGTACAATATTTTAATAAGCACCACAAAGGCAGGATTTATCATCAGCTTACATGTTTCCTCTCCAAGTTCCTCATATGGAGACCCCATAAAATATATAGCAGGAGTTCAATAAACGTGTTGAATAAATGGAAGCATGTATAGACATCCATTTTGTATCAGAGGAAAAGGAAGCAAAAAACAGGTTTATACAGAGAGTGGGTCTGAACACATGCAGCATTACTTCTCAAGGTCCACTGTCCTCAAATAGCTTTGCACTTACGCTTACTGGTTTATCCAGCTTTATCTCTTTTCTCACACCAATGTACGTTGTTTCCCTCACTGATCCAAGTTATTTTAGATTAACCTCATTCCACATTAGAATGGTTTTTAAAAACCCCAAATATATGATTAGTTTTTTTTCTTGCCCCAAGATATGTTTGTGCTTCTAAAAATCGAAACTGGTTAAGAAATCCATAACTATTCAGTCTCAATTTAAACTATATTATCAATGCACATTTGTATTTCTTTAATGTGGTGAAGTAGAAAGTTATCATGGCATTGTAGGGGCATAATTATGTCATTAAAATGATAATAGCCTGGGCTTAATGAACTGTTTTATATACATATTTATAATGGATTCAAGTAATACCAATGAAATATTTTGAGATAACCATCAGCTCAAATATTCTAACCATTTTTGTTCTCTCTTTTCCCACAGGCAAAGCCCTTCTGTTCCCAGCCCCAAGTCGGTTTAACCCATGTTAAATCTATAGGTTGAAGACTTGGGTCACTCGAAGCCCAGAGCCTTGCACAGCAGCAATCTACTCCAACAGAGGTTGATGTCATCATCAGAGGCCACAAAAATAATGCATTTCTCACCATCAAAAAGCTTCTGAAGTCATGCTCTCAAAGGCAATAAATAAATAAATAACCAATTAACTACACCAGTATAAGGTGAAACAAGTTCTTATCTGATAAAACTGACTTAAAAACAGAGGTTATCTCTTCCTCCTTTGAAACAGCCTCACTGTACTTAAATGAAATGCATTACAATTTGGAAAAATGAGGGAGTCTTTTATCCATTTCTACATTTAAGTCCATCCATTCCTTGATGGTGTTCCCACACTCATTCCCAGGCCACCGGCCCTTAGCTCTGTGGGAGAGAAAAACCAAAGCCACTTTTAATTCCTATTAAGAGATGTAGCTAAGAGCACAAGCAGATTTTCTGTAACAGCACATTACCTGCTAAGAACAGTCATAGTGACCATTTACATACGGCTTACTATGTGTGCCAGGCACTGTATAAGGGTACATTATACTCGTAGTACCTCACTGACTAGCAAAGCAGTTCCTATGTGCAAGGCACTAATCTCCGTTCATTTTCATTAGCATCACAGAAGCACAAAACACAACACAGAGCATGGAATTGGAGGTACACTGCCCAAAGTGACTCATTTATTAGAACGTGGAGAATCAGAACGCAATGCTGATGGGGAGAAAGCAAGGAACACAACCCCTTTCCAAGCACCCTTTCTGAGTGATCGAGCAGCATTTGCTCTGTCCTTGCCATCTTGGACTTCCAAGCCCCAGGCAAACCTGATTCCACTGTCTCCTGTCTGGGGTAATGCACACTCCCCCTCTCTATTCTTGCTGTACTAACTCCTACCGTCAAGGGAAATGCAGAGACCAACTTACAACCTGACAGGATGAGAAGAAGAAAATAAAAAGCAAAACAGCAAATGTGATTTTGAAGCCTTAGGATCCACCTACCTCTCCTTCGTGACATTCAAATCGGTACATCCAAAAGTTCTCCATCTTTCCGGGTGCTGTTTGGGCAGCTGGGCCACCTCTAGTGCCTTCACTTGAGACCTGAGGCTAAGTCCTGACCTCAGTATCCGTGTGAGTTGTTTCCAGTGTTGTTAGATACCCGAGTCAATCATGCAACTGGTAACAGGAGATGTGACCACCTCCCAGGGTGTCCGACCCTCGCATTAACCCCTCGCTGCCTGAATGGTCCAGGAAGTCATGCGTCACTGCTGGGCATCAGCAACTGATGTTTCTGAGAAGGGGCTGGCCTATCCCTCCTGGCAGCAGCACCTACTATTTCTGGAGAAAAGACACTCGGCTCTGAATTGCTACCAGAAACTTTCACACACCCCAAACTCTGCTACGTTTATAGAACCTGTGAAAAAAAGCATCCAGCTCATGTGGAAGGAACGGGTGGGAGTCAGGGGAAAAGAGGCTCTCTCAGGACCTGCATCAGGATGCACCTGGGCATGTGGTGCGAGCCTGGAGGACACTGAGGCCAGCTAGGGGCCGTGCCTCTAGGCACAGGAAGTCTCTTCACCTTTATCGAGGGCCTGAGACAGCCTCACGCTGCAGTCTGAATAAGGGGTATGCCAAGCCAGCGACACCAACACAGAAAAGGGCTGCCTCCAAGGCCAGTACGGTTTGAACCAAACCAACAGATAATCCTACATTGGGCTCAAGTGCCAGACTATATATGCTGGTTCAGACCAGACCAGAGGAAGGTCAAGTCAAACCAGGCAGAACTGAGCTGGATGGAGGAGCTCTTGGAAACAGAGGCAGCAGTGTGGTTCTGAAGGCAGGAGGCAGACAGGGAGACCTCTGCAGAGACACCCTCAGAGCTAATCAGCCTCTCAATGATCTGTGCCGATGGGGAAGGATGTGGATGCATGAAAAGCGTTCATCTGAATAGATGACTTTAGCCTTCTCTCTCATCAAACCCTTTATCAGACATGCTGACAGGTCTCTCTGTGAGCCGACCTGATTGGCTAATGTGCTACGATAGGACCAAAAGGTAGAAAAAAGAGACACAAAGGGCCTGTGAACAATCCACAGCTGGCAAATCCTCCCATGCTAGTTGGCAGTTTGCTGTGCTGTGGACAAGCTCTGCAGGCCAAAGTGGGAAACGGGGCCAGAGAGAGGGTGTCCTCAGGCACTGCCCTCTCTCTCCTCATTGTTCTGACATTTCTGACCACTCTTGTCGGCAGTCGCATTGCACCTACTCTAATCTGAATCAGTGGGATGCAAGTCCCATAGCTATTAGCCACCATTCTAGAAAGTGCTTTCTAAATAGTGAGCACTGCAGGAGGTCTCTCTTCCTACTTTACAGCACTGGGCATCTCTCAAAACACTTTCTTCCTTCTATTAATTATTTAAAGAGAGAAAATCTTGGGGTGTTGATTCCCAAGAGTCCAGACTGAATACTCCCCATCATTTAACTCTCCCTAGCCCATGGTGCAGCCTTTCCCCCATTATCACTCTTGAAAATTGCACTGGTTTCCATTTATGAACTGCTCAGAACAGGGTGGGTGAAGCTGTTTAGAGTGTTCACTGCTGCTGTGAAAAGCTTGCAACTGTTTCAGTTATTACTCAGAAATGACCAGCACACCTAAGACTTAAAGTCACTAATCAGACTCAAAGAAAACTGCCAGGCCTTCTGGAAGGTTATAGAAAGCATCTACCCGGTGTCCTATTGGCACAAAAGAACTTAGAATTCTTTCTCTGGCTTTTTTGTTTTCATTGTTTCTTCCCTTTCATGTTCATTCTGCACCTGAAACCTACTTAATTATTCACCACCACCTTCTCCATGCCTCATCAATAATGGATAACACCTGCGATGGAAAACTCCCCCAGCAGCGCAAAGGCGGTTGAGATGGAAGCATGAAGAGGAAGAGCCACCTGCCACACCCAAGGGAGAAACCAAGCACTGAGACACCAGTCTGTCTCAAGGCCTGGTCTCTCCCACACGGCTCCCCCATACCAGCAAGGCCCCTTAACTCTGTGCTTACCAGACTTTTTGCATCATGGCACACAGGGAAATGTTAATATTTGTACAATACACTGGGTCACACAGAGAGGACCTGGAGGCCATGATGAGGCTGCACAAGGGCTGAAGACAACGTGCCCAGTGGCCCAGGTGACTCCCCATCCCCAAAGTCCGGGAGGATCATCAGCACTGGTTGAAAAGCGCTGCCTTAATTTATGAAAGGGTCTTTACAGCAAATTCTTTTGACAATGGCAGTCCCTTGGGAATAAAGTTAAACAACTTCTCCTTCTGAGCAGTCCACCATGGACCTACTCTTTCTCCAGGACAACACCTCCTCTTCTCCATTTCCACAGCCTGCCCTAGTCCCAGCTTTCTCTGGTGTGGCCCCCTGCCCCATCTCCATGCTGGCTCTCACACACCTTCCCTTTTATGCCACTTTGGTTTCATCATCCATCGATCACTTCGGGATCTGCAAATCTGCCTCCTCGCAGCCAGACAACGAAACAAACGCAGCCCAGGAGTTGGTAAGGGTTGACAAGATCAGTAGGAAAGGACAAGGCCAGCAGCTGCTCTGCCCTAAATCTGAAATCCAGTAGCTGACATGGGACGATGCCAGATACCAAATGTGGCAGGCAGCCTTCTCAAATGGCTCCCAATCATTTCTACCTCCTGGTATTCAGCCTCTTGGGTAAATCTCCTCCCTGGGGAGGGAGCACGGCGGAGTGACTTACTCTAAGCAATAAAATACAGCAAAGATGACAGGATATCACCTGTGACTGGGTTACAAAAAACCATGACTTCCATCTTGCTATCAGACTCCATGACCTTCTTATCCTGCATACTTTATGAAGCAAGATGCCAAGTGTCAGAGAGTTCTAAAAATGTTTATTGAATGAGTGGATGATAAATTGTAAGATGCACTTTCAACTTTTGACTAAGGACAGTAGTCACAAACTCTCTCTAGTTCACTGGCAAAACAAGGAACAGCATAGCTTTGAGGCCGTATTTCTTATTCCTATATATAGCTGGTGTTCAACAAAACACAAAGGTATTAGCAGAGAAACAGCTATGACAGCTCAGCTCAATCACTTTGCATAGCAGATGGTTGAGAACACATTTATATCTCTGATACTATTTGCTTGTGTAAGAAGTTTCCCATCCTTTTCTGAGGTCTGCCTGGAAAATACACTGGGTTCCATTCCTGCTGCCCTGGCAGCGGGTCCTTTGGTTCTAAGGTTATGCTTTTGAATAAGCTTCTGGGATGTTGACTTAGAGGGTCTGCCAGCCCCATTTTTCTAAACAGTCTGGATCATATAAGAAAACAAAGTTAGTTTTAGAGCCGACACTGGAATGTATACTCTTCTGCAGCAGGTAAGGGGAAAATCAGAGATAAGGATGCTTGGAGTGTTTTTCCTCTTAACACCACACACAGACTGGGGCTAACTATCCTAGAACCACCCTTCTTCCCTTCCCTAAGAATACATCACATTTCAGCCAAGAATCGATCCACTTGGGGAAACAGGGCTCCAACTGAACACATATTAATTCCAAATTCTGTCTACTTGATTTCAGATCCCATTTCAACTTCATCCTTTGCTAACCACATCCTGGAAAAATTTTGTCTGGCCAGAACTCTGCAAGGTGTAATCAGCAAGAGGAAATCTCTCAGTTCAGAATACCTTAACAAGAATCCTTCACAAAAAATGGAATCCTTTGGCAGCAAGACAGTTCTTTTCACTTGTCCTTGTAAGCTTGACAACACAACAGCAAGGTCGACAGGATAAGATGCTGCTAACAAGTCTTAATGAATTAGCATGTGCACTTGACCTTGATCAGAAGTCTCCTAGCAACGGTCAAAAAAAAGAAAAATTCCATGTCGGTGGCATGCTGAATTCAGGGCAGGGAGGGGGTAACATCAAGAAAATCAAGGTCCCAGATGAAGCCATGGTGCTCCTACACCCTCACTGTAACATTTTTCTTGAAATTAAAAAATAATGTGGATGTAAAAGTACACATGATCAGGGCAAGAGTTCACACCAAGCCCTCACTTCCCAGGATTTTGACAATACCTCTGTCTCAGCAGGAGAGCGGCTGGTTTCTGATTAAGAAGCATTAGTGCTGAAATGGTTTCCTGCTTCAAAATACTTTCTC